AAAAAAAAAAAAAAAAAAAAAAAAGTGTGTCTTAGTGACTAGTGGAGGAGATGAACCTGCTGACCTCCTGGCACAGAGAAGCCTCTTGACAGTGGGCTTTGGTCACAGAGATGGGCATTCTGATGAAAGTTTGTACTTGGTCATATAGCTGGGCCTTGTGTTTGGCATCATCACCTGCCTGGGCCCAGGATGGCACACAAGCTGGGTGGCGAGCTGGGTACACCACCATGACTCAGCATCATCTCAAAGGTTGAGTAATATTTGAATGGCCTCTTCTGCCTATTGTTGCCTTGGTGAATGGTACTCCTTGGTATAGATTTATGGTCAGGATGGAGTTCTAAGGCACTATTTCTTTGACTGTCATTCTCCTATGAAACCCCTAGATCTCACTAACCCCAAACACTGAGTCTTTATTGAAACCAGAATGGACCCTAATGAGAATGGGTACGAGACAGCGATAAGCCTGGCAGGGTGGCTCATGCCTGTAATCCCAGCACTTTGAGAGGCTGGGGCAGGGGGATCACTTGAGCTCAGGAGTTTTGAGAGTAGCCTGGGCAATACAGGAAGAACTTGTTTCTTACCAAAAAAAGTAACAACAACAACAACAACAAAAACAGCTATGGCCTCAGTTTTTCCTGGAGCCTGAGAAGAAACAGCCCTGCCCCCTCTGGCCAGCCTATGGGCTCTGCTTCTTGTGGCAGGGCTGCCCTTGGCATCACTTGGCATGCCTTCTCTCCAGCCCCCAGGTTCACCTACTGGGAGATTTTTGTTTAAATGTCTGTCCTGTCCCCAAGAGAAGCTTGGAGGACCAAGTGGTACAGCAGTTGAGGAAAGATGCCCTGGTGGAGGCATTTGCTTTTGGTGGGAGGAAATGGATGGACAGGGTGACTCTAGAGCTGTCTTACCCAGAGAAGCCCAAGTAGATAATAAAGCCATGTAGAAAATAGGATTAAGGTAATGAACAGGCAGGACAAAGTTTGATCTTTCAATAACACCAAAGCCTGACTGACAGGCCAATCTGAGAGGTGGAGCAGCATCGCCGGCAGGACTTGGGACTGGGCGGTGAGCGATGCTGGATGGATTCTTTGCTTTTAACTTGTCATTGCTGAAACTTGAGGAGCGCCTGGATTTTCTCTTTTATGTATGTGCTGGGGCTTGGGTGAAGTGGGGGAGTACTCGAGGGGCAATTTGCTCTAAACATTGCTATACCCTGGATGATGGTGGGGGCTAGGACACTCAAAGCTGTAGCCACCCACTGGGCACCACTGTTTCCATCAGGGGAGGCATCTCCCACGTCTATGTGTGTGTCTCAGCTACGCACCCTCAGGTAGCCATTTCTGCTTCTCATGAGGCCTGGATCCCTTTCAAGGTCACCATGGTTCCCTCAGCCCCTCATTCTGTCAAGACCCTTAGAGACTCTCCTTGCAGGCTGGGCTGGAACAGGGTTGGAGGGGGAATTGCTGGCAGGAGCACACAGGTCAGAGGGAAGCCACAGGCACACAGCCATTGCCTCTGGCAAAGAGCTTGGCTGTCCTCCTCTCCCTTCCTCTTTTTCTGCCTTTCTGTTTCCTGGAGCTGGGCACCATAGGGTTAGGCCCAAGGACAGGGGATTCCCATCTAACGTGAAAGAGTCCTTCACCCAACCTCAAGGTACCAGAATCTTCCTGCTTCTGACAGTAGGTAGTCTTCAAGCCAATTCCCTAACTCCCAAGTGCCACGAATTCCTGTACCTTCATCTTGACTGACCAACCACTGAAGTATCCCTAGCTAGGCCCTGAGATCCCATCAGGCCCTGAGGAACTATATCAAAGCCATCCTGCCCAAGCCTGGAGTCTGGAGGAATCAAAGCTCATCTTGCATTCTCTGTCTGCATTTGAGCACGACCCTTCCTTGGCTAGGCCCCAGGGAAGGTACCATGTCTTGGCTGTGTGGGGCATAGCTCCTGGTGGCTGGAAGGCCCAGGTGGGTCTGACTGGCCTGCCATCACACATACCTTCCCCCATGGGCTGCTGCTTCCTGTGGTTTCTTTTTCTGCCAACGGGCATTTGAGCTGGATCTAGCGCTGGTGCCCTGAGCACAGGACACAGCTGGGCCCCTGGTAGCTGTGGGGAGGTGGACTTCAGGATGGAGAGCCCTTTAATCCCAGACCTGAAGGTGTCATAGTAGGTCTAGCCACAGCCCTAAGCCCCGCTGGGATTGTGGGGTGGGAAAGGGGGTGGGGAGGTGGTTGGTGACCTGGATGCTCCTAGGGTATTGAGTCCTTGGCCAGGCTCTGTGCTGCCCTGTGTGTGTGGTCATAGGCAAGCCCTGCACACATCCCATTGATTCCCCTTCCCCTTTGGGCCAGGGTCATCCCTGGTCCCCTGTTACACCTCCACTTCCATCTCAAAGTTCCTGAGTTCCCCTTTTCTCAACAAAGGCAGGGGCAGAATAGGCTTCTCACCCATCCTAACAGATGCCCTAGATTTTCCCCCTCTGAGCCTGTGCTCAAGCCAATGCCATGCCCAGAATACCCACTCTATGCCTAATGAAACCTTGCTTGCTCTTCAACATAAATAGCACCTCCACCACGAAGCTCTCCCTGATCTTGACCCCTGTGGCTGGACTTGGTGGCCCTTTCCCCTGAACAGTGTTGGAGCACTGATAAGGGCCACCTGGTCAGCCATGGCTGTGGCCTGGTATAACTCTCCCTCTGAGCTGGGAACTGACCTTGGTTTCCTGCACTGAACACAGGATATGAATGAGTATCAGGTCATCTAATGACATTCGGAATGGTAAGGGACACCTGGCTGGAGCCCATTCTGCCTGGAGAAGGAAGCTGTAGCCTGCACACGGGCTGGGCCACTCTGGGGGCACTGTTAGTGCCCATCCTGCCCAGGTGTGGCTTTCTCTCTGCCTCGGCCCTCCGCCCCCACCCTGTGCAGGGGCCTGGCCCACAGTCAGGGTGATTACGGGAACTGCCCCTCTTTAAAGTACCTGCCTTCTCCTTTGAAAGTATTACTGACAGCTTTTTTTCATTCTCTTTTTTCTTTACCTCTTTAAGGAACCCTGTAATTTCTTTCTTTCTTTCTCCCCTCTTAACTTTTTCTTTCTTGTCCCCTCTGTCCCCCTGAACCCTTTGAAATTGGCTCTCTGCCTGCTGACACCAAACTGATACTTTGCGTTTCACTTCTCCTTATCCCTTTATGGCAACAGATGTTGAAATTTTGTATCCTTTTATCTGCCTGGCTGCCCCTTCCTGTAATTACGGCCCCCTTGTTAGCAGTACAAAGTGGGCTGCCCGGCTGCCTGGCCTTTGAGCCATTGTGTCTGAACACATGTGCGCGGGCGGGTGCTGGGGGTGCACACACAGACACATGCATGTGAGAGGCTGTGTGCTTGAGAGGGCCCTTCTTTCTCACCTGATGGGGCCGAGGCAAGCAAAGCTTCCATACGCTTCTCACCTCTGTTCCTCCATTGTTAACCTTTAGAACCTATCTGTTCCCTTGATTCTCTCACTACCCCACCAGAGGGCAAACCTCTGGGCATCTGTGAGGTGGAAAGGACTGCAAAGAGCTGGAAAGGGCTGGAGGTGGCCCTGGGTAACTCTTAGGGCAGGTCCAGTTGTACAGTTGGATAGAGGTTGTTAAGGGGCCAGCAAGAGAGTGGCTGCATTGTCTGTGAAGCTGGGGAGCACCAGCACCCCGGAGCATATAGACCTGATCTAACATTTACTGGGTGTGCGATCCCTGAGCCTTCATTTTCTCATCTGTAAAGTGGTGTTAAGAAACTTACCTCCAAAGTCTGTTGAACTGATAGGAGTAAAACACTCAGCATGTTGCCTGGTGCACAGTATGGACTCAGGTTATATGAGCTTTTGCTGTAGTGGCTACTTTGCCACCAGGTAACCTTCACAGCCATCTCATCTGGCTCCAGCAGACACAAAGAGAACAGGCCCTTTGGGTTACTTCTGTCATCCTGAAAGCTGCTACCAGACTGGATTTCAGGAGCTCTGCCTTTATCATGGATTCAGGCTCTGCCCTTCCTTGCTCTATGACATTAAGTCACTTTTCCTCTGTGACTCTTGGTTTCCTTATCTAAGTCAGGGGCCTGGACTACGACAATCACTGTCTATTCAAAAGCCTCATGGCTCTCTGCCACTAGTTTGTGCTAGGTGAGGGATATGTACCCTAAGGCCCACTGTGGCCTGGAGGCCAGACTGCCAGCACACTCCCCAGCCTCCAACCAAACCAGATCACCAGCTGCCGCCAAAACAGCCTGGTTACCCTAGCACTGCACCTTTGTTGTTGTTGTTCCTGCCATCTGGGCCGTCTCCTGTCACTGCCTATGACAGTCCTGTCCCTCAGTGAGGAATCAGTCGACACCCCCAGCCAGAAATGCTCACCTATCTGCCCCCTTATAGAACTTTTTGTTGTTCTCTGTGGTACCTACCAACTCACACCTCGTTAGTTGGATACATGTTGCAGACTTCTCTCCTTGGATTGAATACTCTTTAAAGGCAGCGACAGAGTCTCCTTGATAGTCACAGCTTCCGTCTCCCTGTAGTTTCCATTAAGCACAATGCTTTGTGTCCAGAAGATGCTCAATTAATGGTTGCTGATTGAAGGAAAGAGGAGATAGAGGGGAGGGAAAAACCCCCATTCTCTTTGCAGCTATGTTGGGCCCAGCTTATACCTTCAAGCCATCTGTCCCCCAGGCAGCAGAGGAGATGGAAGAAGGTAAACGCTGTCACCCTTCCATCCCCTCTCTCCAAAAGCCATTGTTGCATTTCAAGGTAGCACATGGCAAACAGGTGCGCAGGTAAGCACAGACCCAAACAGATGCAGGAATGAGTATCCATAGGGTCTCCAGGGAACAGTATCCGGATCCCAGTGTGTTAAAAATGACTAGAAAATGGTGTGGGAGCCGCGGGCATGCTGAGCTGTGGGCTGGGAGGTGGTGATTCAGGAGCACTCTAGTACAGGTGGCTGTGGGGAAGGCTGAGAGAAGGGCAGCAGGGCACCAGGCTTTCTAGCTCTGCAGACTCTGGGGGCAGGGGTAGGGTGCCAGAGACTGCCCCCTGTGCCCAGTCTAGCTTAGCACTCAGGGCTTCTCCCAGATGGACCATCCTTTAGGGCCAGCCCCTACTAGCAGTTAGCTCTCCCCAAAAGAGGGTGAATGGGTATCAGTATTTCATGTAATGTCCCTCCTCTCTGACTGGCAGGAAGTTCTCTGTCTCCCTCCAGCTGCAGTGGAGCCACCTGGGCAGCAGGATGGGTTGACCTCTCAGGGATGTGGCCACACTCTGCTTGCTTCTTCCTCTCCAGGTATGGGGTTCCCAGGAGAAGCCTGCACATGGCCAGAGCCAAGGGAACAGGTCTCCCTCAGGTGCTGCTCCTCAGCCTGTGTTTCATTCATCAGGCTCACATGGGCGGCCCCATCTGTCTTTATGTTTCCCTGAGTTGAGAGACAATTGCTGGGCTCGGGCTCGGGGGAGGCTGGGGTGTAGAGGCCCCCAGCCCTCAGTGGCTCCTGGAGGCCTGGGCTTTGTCCATGGGAGTTGGAAGGGAATGGACTTTTTGTCTGGCCCTCTATAGTGATGGGTTGGCCCTTGCTCCTGTCTTGGCCCGGGGCTCTGAGCAGCAGCCCTGTTCCCACACAAGCTGTGCAACAGCCAAGGCTCTGCACCCCCCTCTCACCCCCCACAGTGAGAGGCTGAGAAGCATTCTTAACATTCTTTCCAGAGAAAAGGGGTGAAATGTCTGAATTTGGGGGGTCACCACGTTATACAAATTGCAATCTAATCGTTTTTACAAGAACACACTTGCAGTAAGAAAAGGAGCCCAGGAGGAGGGGATGAGGAGACAGACAGCTTGTTTTGTCCCTCTTTCCCCCAAAGTTTGGGGCTATTGTCGGGCCAATCTCTCCCTCCACCAGAGCAGTTGAGCTAGAGTTTTCTAGTTAAATAGGTCTTGGGGTGGGGGCCGAGAAGGGCCCACGGTGCCATTTCTGTTTGTTTTCCCAAATCAAAGCCCCAGCAGGGCTCCTGTGGCACTGCTGGGCCGCTATTTGAAGAGATGGGCCTTTTCCCAGAGCCTGGTGTGTCAGTTTATGCTCTGAACTTAACCTCACGGGCACCACACAACAGAGCCTTGAGGGTCCTGGGCCCAGGGGCAAAAGAAATTGTATCTTTTTATTGGCCCATTTAAAGCATGTGTGGCCATTTTAGAGAACAGCGCAGCAGAAATAAACCTCTCAGCCCCTGGCCAGGCTGTGCGGGCAGACAAGGGGCTCTTGGGGTTTGTGCTGGCCCCCAGGGCCTGGTGCTCACTTGGGCTCTTGAGTCTCCCCCCGAGGGTAAGGAACCCTTGGGCTGTTCTGTATTTCTTACCACAGATACTTATGGCCATGACATTTTCCAGCGGCGGCTTGAATGCTGGGGTAGGGCCCAGGTGGGCAGCCCATTCTGGGTGGGCGCTGTCCCTGTGCAGCTCCATGAGTGCCCAGCTCTCTTTCCCTCTGAACCCAGGGACCAGGGTGGGCGGGTAGAGCCATGCTGGGCTTCAGTCCTCCCAACCCCCGATGCCTTTCATCTTCTATTTCAAACAAACATGAAATTACTTCTATAGATTAAAGGGGAGAGCTCCTCAATCATTCCTTAAGGCCTCACTAATGGAGGGGGCAGGGCCCCCAAATCTGGAAGAGGGAGGAGAACCGTGGAGCCAAACAGTCCCTACCCACCGTGCACCCAGTATACCTGAGAAAGAGACCCCCTACGGGGCTCTGGCCTACCCAGGGTGGCTGAATCTTGGCTGGTGGCCCATCTGGGAAGGCAGGGCTTCTCTGGGAGCCAAGGTTAGCAGTCTCTGTGGGATGCAGATCTGGGGAGAGGGCCTTCTGCATGATCCCTCTCAGGAGCCCCCCAACAGAGGCTTGTCATCTTCTCCCCGCAGGCCCAGCTCTGGGCTATGGAAGACCAGAATTTCCCTGAGAAGGAGGCTGCAGGCAGGGGTTGCTGACTGGGGCTTAATCCCCCACTGGTGGCAGCAGTGCTCCTGGCCAGGGCTCACTGTCTGGGGCTCAAAGGGAAAGGTGGAGGGGACAGAAAGGAACCCCCAGTCTCCTCCAGCCTTCAGGGAAGATGGCAGCTCTGTCGGGGAGAAAAGAGGTTGTGGGTCAGAGTCTGAATGAGGTGGAAGGACGGGAGCTGCCATCTGCAGTCAGACATGTGGTTGGCCGCCTTGTCTGCCTCAAGCCCTTTGCTGAAATGCTGCTTGGGCCAAGCTGGGCTGGTGAGCCATGAAGTCCCCTCCATGCCAGGGCCTCTTACCTGGACATCCCTGTGAAGTGTCCATGGCTTTGTTTCTCCTGTCATGGCATGGGGAGAGCCCAGCATCTCATGGGTAAAGGAAGCTGAGGCATCAGGCATGGAGGGTGCCCCTTCTCCTTCATTCCCCCCAGTCATTCTGTGGAAACTCAATACTTCTACTCATCCCCTGGCCGCAGGGATTAGCGGGTGCACTTGATGTTGAGGGGTAGTTGCTAGGGACAGGAGGCCCCCCTACATGGTTGCTAGGGGTCTGGCATCAGGGCAAAGGGTCTGCCCACTGCCGCGGTCACGGAGGGAATTACACAGTCACAAAGAAATTGTTCTTCTCAGTAATCTGCTCTTGGCCACCGGGTGGGGTGAGGGTGGGGGGAGCAGGCTGGAGCCCTGCAGGCTGGGGGCTGTGATCACAGAGGCATGCTAGCCCCGGGCTGGGGGCCAGCTAGGCCAGAAACACCAGGGACAGCCTGCTAAGCTGCTTTCTCAGCGATTTCTCTCCCCAGACACAAAGGTGTTTACTTGTTTTAACATCTCCTAGGACTCCCCTTCTCCCTTTGTGTGGTCTTTATCCCCAACGAGGTTTGAGCCCCAGATTACAGGCAGGAATTAAGGCATTGGACTCAGGCAGCTCAACTGCATGACCTGCAGGATCAAGAAGTATAAAGTAACCGTGTGCGTGCGTGTGTGTGTGTGTAAAAGGGGGGCCAACTCCTTCAGCAAGGGCCATTCATCGTCCTGAGGAGGAGTGGCTGTGTGGCAGGCAGCCGGCAGGCAGGTGTGACGGAGGGGGGGGAGGGGTGGGGCCTGGGACTGGTTGCAGAGGCCTCTTGGCAGGGGTGAGGTGGGTAGGAATCAGGCATCTCCTCCCTTGGCCCCCTTCCTTGAGTCTCATTCTGACAGAGGAAAGAGAACCACATTTCCTCAAGTTCTGATGCCCTCTGAAGGCTGAACGAATGTGGATGGCCCATGTGAAACAGCCTCTCACTCTGTCCTTCCCTTCTCAGTGGGCAGCTGATGACACACTTGGGCAGTGACTTTCCCCCAGGGGCTGGGGTGCTGGATGTCATGTATGAGTCCCCCTTCACACTGCTGTCCTGTGGCTATGACACCTATGTTCGCTACTGGGACCTCCGCACCAGTGTCCGGTAAGTGTGCTGGGCAGGGTGGCGGGGGCCCTATGCCAATCCTGGTCCTTCCTCCAGTCCTGGGTCGGCCCATGGGAGAGGGAATGGAGACTCCATGTTGGGGCTGGGAAGGAAGAGGCCTGCAAGGACATGCCAAGCTTAGACTTCCTACACTTGGGCAGCCCTGGTCCCAGTGGCTTGGGAGACTGTAGCCAACGGGCCCTGACAAAGGCAGGCATTTCTCAGAGCCTCTGGAGCCATCAGGGTACTGTCCCTCAACATTCTGTCCCAGCCTTTCTTGAGGCCTGTGTTGCTTCTCCCCTTCATGAGTCCAGTGACAAGTAGCTGGTCATGTGAAAACATGTGCAGGCACCATCTGCTCTGTGGTCTGGTCCATGGCGAGAGCCCTCTACAGAAGGTGCTTTCTCCCATGAAGTTCGGTGTTTGTCAAATCTGATGATTGAGGCTTCTCTTTCTCTTCCAGCCCAGAATGATTCCTTAATGCTCTCCTCAGCCACTCTAGGCTCGAGAAAGCTGGGATGGAGGTGGAGGGCACCCTAAACCTCCCTCTGCATCTCCTCTTCCTGGACAGGAAATGTGTCATGGAGTGGGAGGAGCCCCACGACAGCACCCTGTACTGCCTGCAGACAGATGGCAACCACCTGCTGGCCACAGGTTCCTCCTACTACGGTGTTGTACGGCTGTGGGACCGGCGCCAAAGGGCCTGCCTGCACGTAAGTGTGCTGCCTACTTCTTCTCCAGGATGCTAGGACTCATGATTATGGGCTGCATCTGGGAGAGGGTGACACAGCCAAGGATGTGCCTAGAAGGGGTTGGAAGAAGCCTACAGTGGCACATGTGCCTACCTCCCTGGGCCTGGGGATCCTGGGTTAGGGCATACCCATGTCCCACTTAGAAAGCTTTTACCACTTCCTGTGCTCTCCCTTCCAGGCCTTCCCGCTGACGTCAACCCCCCTCAGCAGCCCTGTGTACTGCCTGCGTCTCACCACCAAGCATCTCTATGCTGCACTGTCTTACAACCTCCATGTCCTGGATTTTCAAAACCCATGACCATCAGGGCCACCCCTGCCTACGGGCCAGGGAAACCAGCTACTCAGGGACCTCTGTTGTTTGGAGGATGCAGTGATAACTCTCCCACTGCCCCACTATGCTCCTGGACCTGTGACCCCAGTGCTTGGGCACCTTGCCCTAGAGTCTCTGACTCCTGGGGCTTGGGGACTTACCAGAGATGCAGTCCCTCCCAGGAACCTGTTGGAGAGGCAGGACCTGCTGCTTTAGAGGAGTACAGCTGAACCCGGGCCTTGTGTTCCAGAGAGGCCCATCTTACACCCCTTATTAGAGCCACGACAGCCTGCAGAGTGAGGTGAGGAGCTCCCACCTTCCCAAATGGTTCCTTTCTGCCCCTTCATGGAAGGAAAGGTGAGGCTGCCAGTAGCCCCCTGGCACCAGCCAGACTTCACCCTTGACCATCCTCTCGGGGCCGGGGGTTCATTCCTGGGGCACTGTGGCCTGGTTTTGTTTGAAACCAAGAAAGGGCAAAGAGAACCCAGCAGTTCTGATTGAGTTCTGAGCCATCCCTACCTCAGGCTGGTTGTGGAGACATGTTACAATTTTCATTTTTGTAAAAATAAAGCTTGATCATCTGGTTCTTCACTGACTGAGTAGTAATAGGAGGCCCGAGGAGAAGGCAACAGCAGACCCAAGCTCAAGGTTGTGTGTGCTGCTGAAATGGCAAGACCAGCCTCATGGCTCTGTGTCCGAAAGGTTTCTTTTTTTTTTTTTTTCCAGGAAGACTTCCCATGGACAACCTACACCATAGCATTTGGGGTGTGGAAAGGGTCCAGGCTGCTGAGAGCTTAGTTGTTACCTATGGTGACCCCTACCCCAACACACACCCTTGGCAACACTATGACCCTTATTCTGGCTTTTTACCCACAATGCCTTAACATCCTATGTTCTATTTCCAAGGTTTCTGCATTTTTTGTTTTGAGATGATGAAGTGTCACTCTGTTGAGAGTGCAGTGGCACGATCTTGGCTCACTGCAACCCCCACCTCTTGGTTGAGGTGATTCTCCTGCCTCGGCCTCCCAAAGTGCTAGGATTACAGGTGTGAACCACTGCGCCCAGCCAGTTTCTGCATTTTTAAAACTTCTCTCTTGTTGGCACATATCTTCAGGAGTTTCCTCTGAGCCACTTCTGCAAACTAGGGTAGCACAAGGTCCCTCCAGACTGGTCTTCCTCTGAGTTTGTGTCAACAGGTTGTGGGGAAAGGCCAGCCCTGCCCTGCTAGGGCCATGTGCTCCCACCCTATTCACCTCCCTTTTTGTGGAAGGCTTTATGTTGACGATCCCTGGGATAGAAAAGGGAATGTCATCACCACCCCCCTCCTGAGGAAGGCCAGTGGGGTCTGGGGCCAGGCAGCATACAGAGGTGGACAAGAGGGCAGTCCCTGTGCAGTAAGTAGCTCACAATGACTTTACTCAGGAAATAAGACCATGACTCGCTGGGAATGCCCCACGGCCCAGTTCTTATAGACCCTTGATAGCTCCTAGAAGAGAGGAGGCTGCCGTGGCCAAGAAGGGCCAAGTCTTGAAGTCTCATGGCACCCCCCATGCTAGAGGTGTAAGGCTCAGGGGCTAACTACTGCGTCTTGCAGTCCCCGTCGTTGCCATGGGCTGTCTTTACCTTCTTTAGTTCCTTCTGTAGCTCAGACTCAGCCACCACAACCTCCTTTGGCTTCTGGTACTGTGGATGGGGCCAGGAAGAAGAAAATAATTCAGTCACTGTCCCTTCTCCCTCTGTACACACTTGGGGCCCCTTCCGATCCCCTTATTTGCACTAGGAAATTGAGTCCTATATAGTTGAATGATTTGCTCAAGGTCATGTGCCTGGGTAGGAGCAGACCTTGGACCAGTACCCAAGTTCAGCAATTTCCACCGCTCCCCCTTCATCCTTTACCCTCTTCTAGCTGTGAATTATATGGTCAGGCTCCTCCCTGAGCCCCCTCCCTGCTCTCCCCCATGCTGAATTAGAGATGCCTGTTCTCCCACAAGCACACCCTAGGCCTTGGGGCTAGAACTGGACACTCTTATGGCATGGAAAGTGGGCAGGGAAAGAGGAAGACTCTCCCTGATGCAGTGTCCAAGAAGTCTAGGTGAATCTTACAGAGATGATCAGAGTGCAGTTGGCGTGGGCAAAGCTCAGCGAGGCATCATCCAGAGGTAGCCGGTGTCTATCTAGGTCAGGAATGGAGAACTTCTTGTAGTACCTGTGGGGACACCGAGAGACCACTGGGGCACTCCGCAAGGTGACTCAGCAGCTAGGCATCAGGACCTGTGCTACCTAGCTTCTACCCAGCTCTACCACACATGCAGAGAGGGAGAAGGGAAACCAGTTAGAACACCAGTATTTTAGAGCTCAGTGGCCCCAGAAAGCATAGGATGGAAGCCTTATGTCCAGTCCAATGGCAGAAGAGCAGAACCAGTCATAACTCTGTGATTAGACCAGATTATAGTGACTCACACCTCAGAGCTGGGTCTCCCAAAGACAAGCAGAAGAAACCTGGAACACACAAACAGCTCAAGCAGCTTGGGACTCCTCTACACTCAAAGCCTCATGGAGACACCAGAAAACAGGACGTGTTCCAACAAGGGACAGAATAAGGACATTTAGATCTGTCTCCCAAAGCTGGGGCCCTACTGTTACCACTTACATGGGCTGTCCACTGAAGGCCTCAATACTACTACTACTTTCGGGGCCTTTCAAGGCCTTGTTAGCCTGACTCTACTTGTAGTCCAGAGAGAAAAGTACACCCAGTAGGAGAAATCTCCTTCAGAGGACAAACCATGCTCCTCATGATGGAAGCTGGACCTCTGCACTACTCGGCTGGCCCCAAGACACCACTCCTCCATTTTTACACATCACACATGGTCCTTATCATCTGCAGGTGCCGGTTCAGAGATTAATGATGCCTATTTAAAAAAAAAAAAAAAAAAAAAAAGACCAGATAGCAACACCCAGTCCATAATGTGTGTAACTAGACTTTGCAGGAAATTTGACCCCTTTAACAAAAAGGGAACTCAGGCTCAGAGAGATAAATGCCTTGCTTGGTTTCACAGCCAGTTGTCAGTAGGGATGGGAGTCAAGATTAGAGTAAGGTTCCTTGTCCTTGGTCTAATGCTTACTACACCAAAGCACAATGAATGGCTTTCTCATCTCACAACAGACCAGTTTGGCATTTTCCGTGGTGGAAATGTAACTTAGGCTCTGGCCAGGGGCTGCCAGACCAGTCACTTGGGCAAGGCATCACTTTCTGCTGCAGAGGTTGTATGGGCTGTGAAGGGAAACACCTCAGGCAGGTACAAACAAACTCAAGTGACAGGCCTGGGGAGGATCGGGCTTTTAGTACTTCAGAGGGGCCTGGTCCTTGTGGTGACAGCTACCCTGAGTCCACTTCAAAAGCCCCTATGCCCTGGGGACTCAGAGAGTTGACATCAATGCAGCACTTCTGCCCCCGTACTCCCTGCCCAAATCCCTTGGTTCAACAGAGACTCTCAGGGCCCCTCTCTTCCCAGGTTCCCCACTCCCCACCAAGGTACTGGGACCCATGGCAGGAAAAGAATGTTTACTTAAAGGCTGACAGTTCAAAAGGAGTGGGGGCTGGGGGATCCTAATGGCACTGCAAGTTGCTTTATTTTCCAAAGCTCTGCCCCAGGGAAAGGCGATCCATCTGCCTGCAAACCGAGGATGGAATGCCTGCCTCATCCTCTTCCTAGCCAGCTCAGGCTGAGGGCTCTTCCTGGGGCCTTTGGTCTGGCCAGCAAAGGTGGCAGACACTGATAATAGGGGAGAG